AAACGCCTAGCTGCCCTATTATGCTAGGAGCTTTGCAAAGTAAAAGATCGTTTGTCTCAAAGATCCTACAGTCTCAATAGAGATGAAGGGTTGGAGGACATAAGGGAGGCTCAACGTGGTGACATTCACACGCTGGTCAGTGGCAGGGCCAGGTATAACTCAAGTCTCAATCCAGTGCCCTGCCCACTGGATCATGCTACCTCTTGCTAGATGTAAGGGAAGATCAAAGGCAGAGCTAGGCCAGCGGCCTCAAGGGCTATGTTGTGACAAGGTAATAATGAACTGGGCTGACGAAGGCACATGGCACAGGAGGTATGTGCTCCATTCTCTGCATACTATCTTTACGACCTGTGCTCAGTGGATAAAGTTCACCCCCGTGAAGAGACACCACACAAGGCTCTGTGCACCACTTACTCCCTATTTAAAATGTATCCTGCACTGGAAAATAACTGTGCAAAAGAGGCATCGGGAAGACACAAGTTGGTCATTTTTCATTAACTTCATACCAAATGGGGCCAGTTCACAAGTAAAAAAGATGTTTTGAAATTGAAAAGGTTTTTTCCCCCCGCAATTCTCAGCCCTGCAAGCTCAACCCATGATCTGAGAATCAAGATTCTTGCAAGGTCCAACAGATTATGCCCTCATAATTACACCTGTACAATTCCATTGCTTTCAAATTATGCCTGTTGCCTTTAAAGGATTTGCACGGGTTTAAGTGATTGGAACACAGAAAATCTCTCTCCCACCCCCCAGCACAAAACAAAGCCTATATTTAGAAACAGACCAATTGCCACATCTTTAAATCAGGACTTATAATAATCACAAAAACACAGCTACTATCCATAAAATAATAAACCTCTTCTATGGGCACGGAGTGATGGGGAAAAGCCTTTTAACTTATCTCATCAGTTTGTTTTGCTTTGCCTTCTGAGAGCCTGCTTCCTCTGGCTGCCGGATTCCTTGTAAACAGCAAGCACAGACCACAGGGATGATATATTTCAATTGTCTGGGATGTGGAGAACAGTGCTATGGGGTGGACATTAAGCCATCACTGCGGATAGAAAATGGGAAATCATTTTCATGACTTTAGAATCAGGTTGCATTTTCATAAGTTCATAGTGCACCACTGATAACCAAAGCAATTTACCCACCTGGGAACCTGATAGATCTTCCAGTCCAAGTTGTGTCTCTTCTCTTCTGAAAGCCTCCAGTGAAAGTTGGGACAGGGCTTTACCCCTTATCATCTGGGCCCACCCAGAACCAACTTCTCTTAGATTCACTTGTTCATCATATTCCTGCAAATGAATGAGTGGCACAGTTTTCTTGGGGGTGGGGGACTCAGTTCCTGTCTCCTTGACAGCAGACTGATTTCATAGCCCTTTCTGTTATTGGAATTAATAGAACCAGTCCGAGAAAGCTCACTGCTCCGTCACAGGCAGAACAAGCATGGCCATTTCCAGAAAACAAACTTGTGCGACATAAATAATTGTCAATTTCTTTCAAAGAATATGAACATCTTCCTAACTCCACAGTCTTTTGAGCACAGGTCTGACCAGAGAAGATCAGATTTAAATCAGAATTCAAATAGTATGAGATTATAACAGCATCAGTTACACTGAGCTTGAACATGCCTTTATGGATTCTCTAAGAACTGAATCCTGCATCCATGGGTGTGGAGGGACACACCTGCCGTACAACTTCTGTTGCTCTACCACATGGGTAAAAGTGGGGAGAGTGACAGGATTTTGGGAGTCCATACATCCCCGACACACCATGGAGGCCAGTTCTCTGCACCCGCTGAGTGCACCCCATCATTCCTCACACAGGCTGACAGTTACTTTTCCAAAGGGTTTGGTGTATCCTTAAGACTAATGATGAACTGATTAAAAACCAATAAGCAGGATCTATTTGTGAATGATTTGTTCCGCAAAAGAGGGGCTAACTTTAGCTCTATAGCTCTGCTCACTGTACTAATGGACAAAGGAAAGCAAAGAAAGTTTAAATAACTTTTCAAAGTCCCCCCAAAAGTCTGAGGTACACTGCCGAGCTGAGACCAGCATTCCCGCCACCCAGTCCTCTGGTCCAACTACCGGTCAGTGTCTTGGCCAGCTTGACTAACTTTCCCCTGCTGTCACAAGTTCACATGGGGCCTGCAATAGCTCTTTCTCCTTACGTTGCTTTTTATGTATCGCCTGCTTTACTAAGTGATTATTCTGTTGATGAGCGAGTGTAAAACAACCATCTAAAGCATGAAGATGGAAGAGCATGGAAAATGAATGCGTTTAAAATGCATTTAGTGTGGTGTTTCTTCATTCCTTTAATGGACCGGTTGGTCATGCCTGTAACTCGGGGAGAGTTTAGTGCCCAGCCAATTAATTCACTTGATACATCTGCTAAACCATCACATCTGCTGTTTTGATTCAGAAAACCCTTTTCAGTAAGATGTTTGAGCTCTTATCAGCCATTACTTTAAAGGGGTTCACAGCACATAACCTCTGCAGAGAGCATCCAAGCAAGCAGTAAATGCATTCTTCTAATTGGTTTGGTAAATGTGGCTTTGTGCAGAATTTGTTTAAGCAAGCACCACCATAATTGCAAAGGCCTTTCAACTCTTTGCTCAGAAGATGATGAATCCATGGTTTTCTGTCTTCTGAAAGGGAATACAAAAACACAGGCTGATCTATTTGGATTTATCCGCAGTGGCTCAGAGGTTTGTCATGGCTGCCAGCTTGCTAATATTGTGAGTGTTAAAGAAGGCTCATCTCATAAGCAATGCAAATGGGAACCCAACCTGCAGTTTCAATTGGTAGATGGTACAGTTTTCTTTGACAGGAGCATTGGCAAGGTGTCCAGCTCCCATATTTAATCTGATTAACTTTTTTATTTTTATTATAACATCCATCAGCTATTGACAAATCTATTGGCCTTCCAAATTAAGGACCAAAATAAAATACCAGTTCCTCTAATGGATGATGCAGGGTGCAAGCTTTATCTTGCTGTCCCTTTGCCCTCACCCAACAATTCCTTTCTTGATCGCAGGCCAAATATTGAAATATACAATACATTCTTAATTAGAGGACTATCCTGATTAATCATGAAAAGCTAGCTGGTAGCATTGTGGTTCTTGGTTAGAACCTGAGAAAGGAAGCCTCTCCCCCTTCCCGGCAATCCAATGGGTAGTAGAGGGGATTGGAATAATTCTTTGGTGCCCAAATGTATTTTGGACCTCAAGTTGCTAGGGGTTCAACTGAAGATGTGTGTTCTCTGAGGTTTCCTTGTCAGTTCTATTTGGCCAAAAGGGGCTGCTTCTGGAATGGGATGTTGTTTTGCTTGCTGAACTTTTAGTCCTACTCCCCTTGAACAAAGAGCATTTTGTTTGGTTTGGTTTTTTGTTAGGAAGGTGCAGTGATTCAAATTGTTCAGAGAGTGTGAGAGTGCATGACACACTTTGCTGCTCGAGGCAGAACTGGCCCCACCTGTTTAGAATTAACCTGCCCAAGTACCTCATCACCCTCACATACATCAGATGACTTATTTTGTCATGATCCAATCCTTTTCCTCCTCCAACATTGATCCCAATTTTTAATTCAGCTCTTGCCAGGCATGGCTGCTATTCTTACCTAACGCTGGTACCACTTTTAGATTCAGCTCAGGATGGAAGCCTGCTAGTTGCTTCCCTGATACGCATCACTCATGGTGACATACACATATCCTTCCAGAGTCCAGGGAGACCTGATCTGAGGCTGCACAGAAATAATGTATAGAGAATCACTGAGAGCTGATTGAGAAAGGGATTGAATTGAACCCCAAAAGGGCATTTAGAATTCACAAGCAAGAGATCTGGGCCTGTGCTGAATTCTTTTGAACAAATATGCCTTTCCCTAGCAGAAACCACGGGCTCAGCCCACATCTGCTGCCTTCAGTATTTCTATTCATAGCTTGTACAACTGGGAAATGCAGAAAATCTTGTTTACATGGCCAGAGGCTAAGATAAGGTCAGTTACTCTGCTACAAACATCCAGACCTTGGAAATTCTCTTATTCTTTCTATTATTGTTTCAATGTTCAACTTTTCTTGTGGTATTAAATCCCACTCTGTCTACTGCTCTGGGAGCGATTGGTCAGGATGGAGGAAGTTATCTGTCACAATGGCAGCCCTAGGTGGGAGGTGTTCCCACCTTCAGAGGCACCCACGCAGGGTCCAGGTTTGGCCACTCTTACTCACTCCAAGTAGTCCCTTACTCATGGAGTAAGTCACCACTCATTATGGCAAAGGGTGGCCGAATTTGGTTCATTATTAGCCAACCATTTCGCATCTGTCCCTCATGATCTCTTTTCCTGATTGTGAGAAATCCTTCTGAAATTAGCGTGATCATGCCAATGCCTTAGACATTCCCTCTTCCTGTTTCCCCTCCCCGGTAGACAATTCTCCTTCAGTGTTAGGAATTACTATTTAATAACTCAGCTATGTAACTAAGATTATGGTGAGGGCTGGTAGGGACCATGTGCATGTTAATATTAAGATAAACAGATCCCTTTCCAGAAATACCATGAAATTTACAGAGGAACGTTATGTCAACAATAGCAGCAGAACCACGGAGAGGGTATTTTCCTTCATGCTGCTGCATGTAGGGGAGATGTCTTGGCTCAAGTGCACTTTGTAATTTAAGAAAAGGATTACGAGTCCAAGCAGCAGCAGTACCAAGCAATTAATGAAATTGCTCTTTTGGGAGGGCTCAGTGTACTCTCTTAAATATGTTGAAAATTACCCACAATCCCTGAAGGGCTCTACTTGGAACAAAAGCCAGATTTAAAGCCTGAACTTAATATAATAATGTGGAATAAATCTTGAGGCTGCTAGTCAGCAAGTTCCCTCTACTTCTTGCTTTAAGTTATCATTCCACCTGCTGCACACATCTCGCTATTGCCGCACGACTCATCGGGGGATTATGGATATAACATTGCGTTTTAATATTTTATTTCTGCGAATATTTATTTCAGAGGTAATGCGTTCGAATATCACCATCTCCCTGGGTGATGGAAGACAAGGCAGAACTGGGCTGCAGAAAATACATAATCCCATTCAAAGTAGCCAGGTAAAGCTGCGAACCAGCCTTTGTGTTGTTCCAAGCAACAATGGCTCATGTCACTGGCCTACACATCTCCAGGGAGAAGGGACAGCTCCAAGGCAGTGGCTCTCAACCTTTCCAGACGACTGTCCCCCTTTCAGCCGTCTGATTTGTCTTGTGTACCCCAAGTTTCACCTCGCTTAAAAACTACTTGCTTACAAAATCAGGCATTATCACAGCACACTAGTACTGAAAAATTGTATATGTTTTCATTTTTACCATATAATTATAAAATAAATCAATTGGAATATAATTATTGTACTTACATTCAGTGTATAGTATATAGAGCAGTATAAACAAGTCATTGTCTGCATGAAATTTTAGTTTGTACTGACTTCGCTAGTGCTTTTTATGTGGCTTGTTGTAAATCTAGGCAAATATCTAGATGAGTTGATGTACTCCCTGGAAGGCCTCTGTGTACCCCCAGGGGTACATGTATCCCTGGTTGAGAACCACTGATTTAAAGAATCTCTTCTCGGGGAACGCTGAGGAGACAGCGACAGTTCTGCAGCATCATCCCAATTCCCTGGAGAATGGCTTCAGTGGTGTTTGGGGAGGGAATGGAGCAAAAACCAGCTGCTTCCCCAAGCTAAGTTTGTAGATTTCGATTCCGAAATCTGATCAAGAGTTGATGCTGTGCTGGGCCCAACTTTCCCACACCCCCTCCCCAGAGGCTGTTCCTGGGCAGCTGCAGGGGGAGTCAACCATGAGCAGCATAACTCTTGTTGACAGTGTGCTGATGGTGGGGAAGGTGGGTTAGCACATTTGCATATGATGGCTGTTGTACATGTAGGAACAACTCCATAGATCTGGGGACTGCCCTTCAGATGGATCTGTGAGGGTGGGAGGTATTGCCCCCTGCACATGTGGTAGCCCCACAAATCTCCCCCAACAGGGGGGACCATTTTTCTTAAAATGACTGTGATGAAGTTCATGGAATTTTCAGTTCCCCGGCCTTTCACTCGATATCAGTTCTTACACTGCAGTATCTGAGCACTTTCTAGTAATGCATTAAGCGGTGGACTGTTTGGAAACAGGGCTCAACCCCGCAAATTCTATACTTAGATTTCACTGACCAATTTTCAAGTGTAAACTCCTTAGGCACTATAACAGTGAAACATGGAGTCACAGATGGACCCCTGGGGTACTCCCTCTGTCTTTCCATCCAGGTAAGCTTACTTTTGTGATAGATGGTCCTTTAAACCAAAGATGACAGCAATATTTAAAGGACCAGTCACTTACCTCAGGTCAATTGCACCTTAGATCTCAGACCAAAGGCAATGCTTGTAGCCAATTGTATAAAGATTTATTACATAGGAAAAAGAAATGAGCATTGTTTACAAGGTTAAAGCATATATACACACAAATGAGTTTCAGTCTTAAGTTTCAAAAGGTAATAGAAGTTTCTATGATAAACTCTATATGTCCGCTAGGGCTAACCCAGGCTAAGAAGCTGGGGATCCCTTGCTTATGCCTAGAAATCTTGCCCCACTAGAGTCCAAGCAGCAAAGAGATCCAGTTTCTTCTTGTTAGGGCTTTTTATTTTGTGTTCCCCTCAGTGCTCTCAGTTGAAAACTCAGCCAATGAGCACATTTACTTGTAATTCATCTCCATGGGTGCTGGGGGAGAGCAAACAAAGCCTTTTTTCCTCTTTAAGATTCCATACTAGTTCACCTTGGTGTTAATGGGCCTTCTCAGTTGGGTAGGACATAGCACCTCCTTTTGGAAGCCAGCATTTCATACTAGTTCATCTCTCTTTCCTGTCTGGTGATTTACAGAGTTACAGAGGTGGACAATGCAAACACTTAAATATTACTTCATAACATGGGTTACAGGTGTTATAAGTGAGATTAATGCAGGCAGCAGCTTACAAGCATCCAGTAACATCTAAACATTAAGCACATTTTTGTAATTCCAATACCTATATTAACAATATTAACAGACAGGTGAGCCAGGCTAATTCCAGCTGTGTATTTGTCAGTATGCAGTTGAGATAAGGTGGGGCAAGGCATGAGCTGGCTGGCACCTGGTTTGCCAGCGTCACACATTCTCAGCAGAACATGGTAAGATCAAGTTAGTTAAAGATGGAAAAGAAAACTCGGATCATTGAGTCCATCCCACTGCAAATGCAGCGTGTCGTTCCCTTATAAAAGACATATCGGATAATAAACAGGTACTCAACACTCAGCCATCGTAAACACTGGTTCAGATTACTCTGTGTTTGCCGAGATCACCCAGAGTTATTTACTAATGAGTTAGAACAAGCATTGTTAGTTGTTAAGCAATAAACTAAACTCCAGGTGAGATCACATTTTAAAATATAACAGATTTATTTGGGCATAAGTTTTTGTGGGTAAAAACCCCACTTCAGATGCAGGGAGTGAAAATTACAGACACAGGCATAGCTATATTGGCACTCCACGCATCTGAAGAAATGGATTTTTTACCTACGAAAGCTTATGCCCAAATAAATCTGTTAGTCTTTAAGGTGCCACCGGACTCCTTGTTGTTTTTCTGAATACAGACTAACATGGCTACCTCTCTAATATTTTACAATACGACAGACTAATCATTAATTATATTCACTGAAACTCGTATCCAAAATACAGATAACAGATGGTTCATACTTAGTTTCCCTTCACAGTGAAAAAAAATAGTACCTAATATTTTTTTGTTATTGCTCCCCATTTCTTAATAGTTACCATAATCAAAGCTGGAGAGTTTGTATATTTGAGCTAGTAATTCAAGGCTGTGCATATCTCTGCAAAGTCTGACAAGTGATCAGAGAGTATAACCGTGATTGTTCCAAACCTCATTTATCCAGAACTCCCCATTACCAACACAGGGCCATCTATCTACATTCTTATTCTGTACCTTTCATTATGGTATTTGAGTGCCTAAAACAGGATCACAATCAGAGCTGGGTAAAAACTGCAAAAAAATGTTCCCATGAATATTCCAGTGAATTCTAAAGTGAATTCTTTTAACAGCATTTGTTTTCATAGAACATTTGTGTATTACATTTTGTTCACAAGAAAGTTCATTGAAAATAGATGCACAAGCTTTTGAATGCCAGTCTCCTTTCTAATGCATTAAAAAAAAAAGATTCTGAGTTAAGGTTTGAGAATCCTTTGGAGTTTCCATCTATTGAGCAATTAGGCCCTGATCAAAAGCCCATTGAAGTCCATGGAAAAGCTCCCATTTGTCCTTAAGCGTATTAATAATTTCACAGTTTGTCTGAACTTTATTTCTTGAATTATGAACAGAGAGAAGTGTGCTTCTACTTCTCACACCAGTGCAAGTCAAGAGTAACTACTGAAGTCAGCGGAGTCATACCAGTATACATCTGGTGTCAGAGAGAGGGAAATTGGGCCTTTTGTGTCTATGATGATTTTACTAAATTTACCAGCAGATTTTTTTTATACCACTGACCACAACCTTATGTTTACTCATCTGTAGAAGAAACAGAAGTGGGGGAAAAAAGATGTAACACCTCATTTACCAAAAGTCTGATACTAATTTGTATACTAAAAGGTAAAAGGAGCCCTTCCAGTACAGATAAAGTTGCAGTGTTATGGCCTGATGGCTTCATACACCACTCACTGTAATTTATTTTTAAACAGTTTAATGGAGTGTATTGATTTTATGTTCCTGCGTTTGTACCACTTCCATGTGACAAAGCTGCTGAGTGTTTGACTTCAGCTGAAGAACAAAGGAAAGACTGCTAACATTACTGGCCAACAGAATGATGTGAGACATATCTGTGATCAGATGATAGCGCCACAACTCCCATTGGCTTCAGATGGAATTGTAGACATGGGTCAAGTGGCAGAACTTAGCTCTGTAGCCTTAAGAAATGCCATTACCTGAATGGTGAGCGCAAACAGTAATGCCTTGGAATTAGAAGCAGAAAGGAAGTTTACTTAAGCTAGAGGCTGAGAGGGAGAGAAAGCAACTGATCCTCATCTAGAAGGGAAGACACGGAAAGATGTACAACCAATGATCATTCTGCGACATGCCTCCACTTTGACAATGAAGACATCACCACTAGAACTTCCAGGATGCAGTTTGCTTGCCTTGAGAAAAACTATTCTACGTGATGACAACTTCCCCACTAGGGGAAACCATCCCAGACTTTATTTGCATCCTTATTGTTACCTATATTTTCTTGGTTAATTTAAGTCACTGACAGCACCAGTTAGGCTTTCCTGGTTCCCATCACCACCTGGAACTCTAAAGGAGCCAGGCAGCTGAACAAGTGGTGTTAGTTGGGTTTCCACGATAGAGAGAGCTCCACGCTATAAACTAGGGTGAAATTATCTTCTAGTATTTCAGACTCTGACCTTTACAGAAGACAGCCCCTAATGATTTTCAGTCAATGCCTGCTCTGCTTGATGTAGAAGCCCATTCTGAAGGTAAAAAGGCCAGTGCATTGAGGCAACTCAGTATTCGACTATTCTGCTCTATCTTGATAGATAACAATTCCGACCTTTGCTAGAGAAATAGGTTGGTGTGTGCAGTAGAAGTTCATTTTGAGTGACACCATCAATGCTTACTCTTCCAGAGACAGGATACATGTGTGTGCAGAAAATGCAATAAACAATCCATGCGGCGTTGCTCACTGAAAATGAGTGGGGAAAATTTGTGATTCTCCCATTTCAGTAGGCAGGGCTAAACCCTTGAAAATCTGGCCCTGTGAACATCCTGGGAATATCAACGGGTCTAGGAAAAAAACATGCAGTTCTGTCTAATGAAGCAAGAGCTATTTGGGAATAAAAACAATGAGAATTGCTGGGTGCTAAGCACCGAAGTGACCGGATTCTAGGTGCTGAAATGGAAACTGAACTCTTTGAAAAGCTGGCCCCAGTTAAGGATATGAGCATTTGAAAAGCTTGTCCTAATTAAATGAAAGAAATTCAGTATGGGAAAGTACCTTGTGCTAATGGGCGCACAAGAAATGTACTAACTATGATAATGCTCAGAAGGTCCTTATTTGGAAAATCAGCCTGAAGACTAATGATCAGTTCTTGATTTCATTCATTTTGTTAATTTTAATTCTAAGGTAATTTGATGTGGCATTAAGGGTGGTAATCTGTTCTGGTTTTCCCCCCGATTTTTTTTTTTGCCAGGTAAGGCAGATAAATGAAATGCAAAAGTCTGAGCAATCCATTTTGC